ATCTGCACAAGTAGATGCCAGGTTGATGTCCACATTTTCATTTGTTAAACACAGACTGAGCGGGCCTCATTCCTGGCACTGGGAGTGCCAAATTCAAGGACTGTAGAGGGCAAGAAGGAGGAGTGTAGCTGGGCGCAGGAGAAGCAGCCTCCAGGGTGGGTGTGGGGAGCTTCCAGGGTTACACGATGCTCAGTTGTGCTCATCACATAGAGCCCAGGTGGCAGATGTATTCTTTGCTCCCTGTTTACTGTACCAGTGTGCTTCGTGACGTCAGGAACTCTTATTTTAATTCGTTGCTTTTAGGCATAAAACAGAAACAAGAGAATCACTTATCATCAGTAACTAAGGCTTTGCAAGAGTGAGAAAGAGGACCCAAACTTGCTGAATATCTATGTGATTTTAGTAGAAGGTATTTGTACTTTTGTGGCTTTTACATGTAAAGTTCAGATATAGGCGAGACATACCAGAATAAGGTACTGTAGAACATATGTTTTCTGCATAGCATCCTATGAGGTAGGTCACAAAGTAAAGCCCTATTATTGGTATTTTTTCCCATCCATCTTAATAGACTTAGATAAGTTACCTCAGCCTAGTTACCTTCTTGACAATTAAGGAATGCATCGATTTTCTGCTGTCTACTTCAAGAAATGCAGTAGACCAATACCAGGTATAAAGTGAAAATGTCATTATGTCATATGATCAATATGTCTTATAATGTATTATGTGCAGGCATTGTGCTGGATTCTTTACCACATTATGTCTTATATCCCACTGACCAAAACAGGTATTAGTAGCCCATTCATCCATCCATCCATCCTTTCATCCATCCTTCCATCCATCCTTCCATCCATCCTTCCATCCATCCAGTGAATACTCATTTAGCTTCTAATATATGTCAGACACTACCCCAGAAGCTAGGGGTGTGTTAGTATGCAAAACAGCCAGGAATAAAGCCCATGAATTCATGGAGCTTATATTTCTATGAAGAGAATAGATAAAGAAACAGAATTAGGACAAAATCTCAAGATCCCAATAGCAGCAGGGGTCCAGCCAGATATTCCTGACACCAAACCCATACCCTTGGCATTATACCACCACATATCTATGGGTATTGTGTATTGAATTTGTCCAACAGTTTTCTCATGCAAACCTAAATTTGCAAGGGAAGGAATTATCATATTTCTTTGATTCCATCAATTCCATTGATGGATTTGGACACGATAGGGTGAAGAGTGGAACTTTTTCAAATGGAAATATTTTAATTGACATCCCAATTCCAGAAACATTAACACGTGCTTTTTTTAATTTTTTAGAAAAACAGAATCTAACCATCAAGGACATACGATCTTTAAACTTTGTAAGTCAGGAACTAAGTTCTCATCCCTCACCGTGGCAGTGGGCTTATGGCCCGTGTGCCTTAGCCGGCTGTTGTTATCACTGAAAGCTCTAAAAGGTTCGCCATCACTGGTCTAGAATAATAACGGTGCATGGCCAGAGGCAGCAGCTGTAACTGCTCTCCATTGCCTGAGCTCATTATAAGTAGCACTGTGGCAATTAGTGCCAATATGAATTATACAGCAGAGAAATAATACACTAGGAAATAAGAAGTCTCCCTCCATGCAAAAGTCCGAAGCTCATGAATCTTACTTTAAATGTATTTTGTGAGGAAATTAGTCCTAAGTTAAGCAATATGTAATTGTGGGATATCTTCAGGAGCATGAGCCTCGCTTAAAATTCAGCCATCCCTGATTTATGTATCCATCAAACCATTTGCTCATGTGTGTATTTGGCTCAGCACCTATTAAGTTATGTGGGTTTTTGAGAACTTGGTAGTTCTGGGAGCAGGAAAGAAGGAAAGAAACAATCCCAGCCTGCGTCCTCCTGCCAGTCTCATTGGAGGGGTAAATATCCCTGTATTGAGAAATACACACTTGCAAATCCACGTCACCTTTCCTTCCAGGAGGCCCAATATCCCAAGTGTGGAGCTAGAGCTCGAGAAAATTAAGTGGAATAAATGGTGAGTTATCTGAGCATTTCTCACCCCTTCTCTGTCTTGTGTAGGTGTGCACCAGGGTATTTTGGGAATCCCCAGAGGTTTGGAGGTAGCTGCCAACCATGCAATTGTAATGGCAATGGCCAGTTGGGTACCTGTGACCCCCTAACCGGAGGTAAGATCTACGCACATCCTTTGCCAACCTGAACTGATAAAATTGGTTTAAAATAACAGCCTAAGGACCCAAGCACAAATTTCAAGGAAACATAATACACATTCCAGCTAGCAAATAATCTCCTTGCTTTGAGAACTGGGAATAATATCTTGGAATGAGTTAGGCATAATTTACAATTTGGGTGAATAAATTACATCAATTAGTTTTTAAAATGAATTGTTTTAAATATTCAGCTAATGATAGCTAAAACCATTTCAGACTCTGGTAGTTTTGCTGAGGTCTCCCTTGACATGGTCAGATAGTATTCACATCAGCTTTCTTGATGTGTACGTCTGAAGAAGTCAAGGTAGTCTTTCTCCTACAGCTATATATGTTCTGAAATGTGGGCAGGTAATGGGGTGGATCCCAATACCAAGGAAAAGATAATTCTTGAGAGTTGGTATGAGTTCATTAGGAGCAACTCAGAACAAAAAAGATGACTATCCTCTTCCTTCTTTCAGAGAAAATATTAATATGATTTATCAAGAAAATGCCATTGATTTAGTGTAACTCACATAGGTAAAATCACTCATACTAATGGGCAATATGAAAAGCTCAGAAGCTAGGGGTGTGTTAGTATGCAACACACCCCTAGCTTGTGGGTGTGTTGAAGGTGATCAAGGATGTGTGGGTTGGAGCTGATCAAGGAACTATTCCCTAAAGAAGACAAAGTAAATAGATTAATACCAGTCTACAACAGGAATGTGTATTGTCTTGCTGCTGGACCTAATTTCTGGCTCCAGCTCATTCAGTATTTCTGACCCAGATGTAAATATACCCAGTCATCAGATGACAAGGAGGTAGGAAGGGTAGCAAAGGCCTACCCTGACACATTTAGGAAAACTTCTAGCTTAGAGTGTTACTATGGGGAAGTTGGATTGTTTTTCAGAGGGCATGTCTTCATCACTCATGACATGGGGGAAAGAAAGTGGAAGGAGTAAGGGAAGTCCCAGGGGGACCGCTAGCTTTTCCTAAACTGGAGTTGACAATCTCAAAACTCACCTTGCACATGTGGTCATGGACAGCATAGCCCAACAACATTGTGTGCCCATCTCTGTCACAGTATGTGCCACACTGTTTTGTCACTTGCCTACCTCTTGCACACTGTTAAACGACAAGGCATCCGGGCTTTTGTCTTACTGTCTCTGTATTTCCTACACTTAGAACAGAGCCATGGCACATGGTGGATGGTCAAAGGTGCTGGATGAATGTTTGTTCAATGATCTTGAATGATGCTGGAAGGAGTGTGAGCACACAGGGGCTATGCAGTGGGGAAAGCCTTAACCTGGCAATTAGGAGTTTCCATTGGTAAGAAAGGCGTGGAGATGGTATCCCTTCAGGGAGATGGTGATGCCTGCAGAGAGAAGAAATGGAAGGTGTATGATCAAAAGAAGTTCCTGCAGCGGCCCTGCTAGGAGATGGCTTGGGAGTTGGAGGTTTGGGGCTAGGCAGACAAGGACCAATGATGCTGTGCAGTTGGGTGACTAAAATCTCTCTAAACTCACTTTTCTGAAAATCAAGTTAAAAAGTAGATGAAGAATAAGTTTATAACAATGTCTTCTTTGCTTTTTACCTGTTTTCAGACTGCATAAGCCAAGAACCCAAAGACAGCATTCCTGCAGAAGAATGTGATGGTAAGTTTAGAAAGTTTCCTCCCTTTCTAAGTGTGGGGTTGAGTTTATGAGCCCCTGGTGGAACATGCAATGGTGCGAGAGGGGAAGGAGTGGTCACAAGGAGCCTGTGTGGACTGCTAGCTATGTGACCTTCAGTAGGTACCTCACTTTTCCAGCCCTGCTGCCATCATTCTTGGAATGGAAAGAGTAACTACACTTACTTCATGGAGCTTTTGGAGAAGTCCTTGGAAAATCCCTTAACACAATACCTAGTCAGTAGCAAGCACTCCATAAATCAAAGCTGTTCTTTATCACTTTCCCACATACAAAATAGACAATGACTTGCATAGAATCACCATGTGTATTTCAAATGCTCCTTTTTGTCAGCATTCATGTCTCTCTGAGAAGGGCTGTGACTTCTTCCCATGATGACCTGGGAGCATAGGAACTGGACTGTACAGCACTGTGTTCGCCTTCCCTTGGCTCCAGCCCACAACTCTTTTGCTTTTGATTGTGGTCCCTGCAGATTGTGACAGCTGTGTGATGACACTCCTGAATGATCTGGCCAGCATGGGTGAAGAGCTCCTCTTGGTCAAGTCTCAACTGCAGGACCTGAGTGCCAGCTCAGGCGCTTTGGAACAGATTCGATACATGGAAACCCAGGCCAAGGACCTGAGGGTAAATCCCCCCTGGGATGGAGGGAGAGTCGAATGACAGCTGCTCAGTGAATACAGCTGTGCCTTGGTATCCACAAGGGTCTGGTTCCAAGAACCCTCACGAATACCAAAGCCTACTGATGCTGAAGTCCCTTATAGATGGTGTGGTATTTGCATATAATCTGTGCACATCCTTATGCATATTTTAAACCATCTCTAGCTCCCTTACAATGTCTAATACCTATGAATGCTATGCAACTACCTGTTACACTGCATTGTTTAGGGAATAATGACAAGAAAATTTCTGTGGCGTTCGGTACACACGCATGGTTTTTTCTAATCCTCAGTGGAATCCGTAGACAACAGAGCCCTCTGACTGGGAGGGTGGACTGTGAACGAGTGGGGAGAGAGGAGAAGCTTACAAGGATCCTTGTTCCTCTCGTCAGAATGGAGATTAGGTTTCCACTGGTGGGAAGTGCTCGTGAACACAGAAAATTAACACTTGGAAGTGCACTTTTTTTTCATTACTCAGTGTTTCCAGGCTACATGTTTTCATAGAGGTTTTTGCTCAGTGTCTTGTATTCAGACACTCCAAACAAAGGCTTGTATAAAATTAGTATAGTTCTTCTGCCTGAATGAGCCTGGGGATTTCCTTGTGAGAAGTTTCTTACCCATGATTTTGATTTTTAAAAAATAGACTGAGCCTACTCAAGTATCTTTTTCTTCTTGGTGATATTTGGTAGTCTGTGTCCTTCTAACGATATGTCCATTTCATCTAAATGACCAAAGTTATTGACATAAAATTCTTCATAATGTTTTTTGCTATCCTTTTAATGTCTGTAAAATCTGCAGTGATGTCCACTATTGCTGATATTGATAATTTATGCTTATCTCTTTCTGCTGATTATTGTAGCTAGATGTTGATCAACTTTATTGATCTAGTTCATTGATTTTCTTCATTGTTTTTCTTTTCCAATTTCACTGACCTCTGTTCTCATACATATTTTTTTCTTCTTCCTACTTGCTTTGGTGTAATTTGCTACTCATTTTTTAGTTTAAGATGAAAACTGAGTTTACCTATTCAAAACATTTCTTGTTGCTAACATAAGCATTTAATTTTATAAAGTCTTCCTCTAAGTGCTTCTTCTGTTGTATCCCAGAGATTTTAAAATATTTTTCATTCTCATTCTAGTTTCCCTTGGGATGTCTCTTTAACTCATGAGTAATTTGCAAGTGTGGTGTTTAACTTACAAATTGGAGAATTCCCCAGATAATTTTCTGTTATTGAATTTTAATTTAACTTTTGTGGCGGGAAAATGAACCTTACATTATTTCATTTCTTTTAAATGTGTTGAGGTTTGTCCCATAGCTCAGAATATGGTCCATAAGGGTGAATGTGCTTTGTGCACATGACTGGCAGACAAATGCACCTATGCTGTCCAACAGTGCCCCATCAGGTTCTCTGGGGGAAACTGAGGGCTACTTTGCCCATCCATGGGCAGAGGAAGCATCCTCTTCACCACCTAATGCTCACTATTGGACAATGGTGACATGAGAATATACGAAAGCTACAGAATCACAGCCTTCCAATCAGGACCTGGAAAAATCCACGAACATGGGTTTGTGTTGCAGCGCAACAATTTCCCGTCCCCCTAGTGAACACGTGCTGAACTGCTGAGAGAAGACCTGGTCCTGGACACGTGGGTCCAAGATGGGGGCCATAATAACATCTCAGACAGGACCTGCGGAGTGCAGGGAGAGACAGAGAAAAAAACCGCTCCCAAATGAGTTTGTAACATTTTAACAAATAACAACAGGAAAGACATGCAACTGAAGCAACACTCAAGAGATACACGGACTTCAGATAAATGGAAACAATGGGACAGGCAGAAAATTCAATAGTACTACCCCATGGAAGGAATAAGAAGCTGGGAAATCCAAGGGGAAAAGACCACTAGAAGTCAAAAAAGAAAGGTAGAGATGAACAGACCCAGCTGAAAATAAGGGAACTAATATATGTTCGTTTAAGTAAAAAAAATTCAGTAAGTGAGCTAAAGCCAACACTAAACACAGTAAA